ATCAGTAAAATTCACCCCAAAATTTACCCCAAAATTCACCCCAAAATTGGCAAAATTCATCCCAAAATTCACCCAGAATTTGCCCCAAAATCAGCAAAATTCATCCCAAAAATTCACTCCAAAATCTGCCACAAATTTAAACTGGTTTGTACCGGTTTATACTGGTTTGTACCGGTTTATACTGGTTTATACTGGTTTATACTGGTTTGTACTGGTTTATACCGGTTTGTACCAGTTTATACTGGTTTATACTGGGATCCCCCCACAGGAACTGGACCTGTCCCGGAACCGGATGTCGGATCTGGGGGGGTTCCCGCCCCTCCCCCGCCTGGAGCGGCTGCGGCTCCACGGGAACCGTGAGGGAAAAGGGGGCGGGGCTTGAGAGGGCGGGGCCGGGGAGGGTGGGGCTTGGGGTTTGGGGGTGTGGCTTGGGGTTTGTGGGCAGGACTTGTGGTCTGTGGGTTGGGTTTGAGGTCTGTGGGTGGAGTTTGGGGGTTGTGGGCGGGGTTTAGGGTTTGTGGGTGTGGCTTGGGGGTTGTGGGTGGAGCTTGGGGTCCATGGGTGTGGCTTGGGGTTTGTGGGTGTGGCTTGGGGTTTGTGGGTGGAGTTTGGAGGTTGTGGGCAGGGTTTAGGGTTTGTGGGTGTGGCTTGGGGTCTGTGGGTGTGGCTTGGGGTTTGTGGGTGTGGCTTGGGGTTTGTGGGTGTGGCTTGGGGTTTGTGGGTGGAGTTTGGTGTCTGTGGGTGGAGTTTCTGGGTTGTGGGCGGGGTTTGGGGGTTGTGGGTGGAGTTTGGGGTTTGTGGGTGTGGCTTGGGGTCTGTGGGCGGGACTTGGGGTTTGTGGGTGGGGTTTGGATTCTGTGGGTGGAGTTTACGGGTTGTGGGTGGGGTTTAGGGTTTGTGGGTGGAGTTTGGGGTCAGTGGGTGTGGCTTGCGGTTTGTGGGTGTGGCTTGGGGTTTAGGGGTAGACTTTGGGGGTCGTGGGTGGGGTTTAGGGATTGTGGGCGGGACTTGGGGTCTGTGGGTGTGGCTTAGGGTTTGTGGGTGGAGCTTGAGGGTTTGTGGGTGGAGTTTGGGGTCTGTGGGTGGAGTTTGGGGTTTGTGGGCGGAGCTTGGCATCTGTGGGCGTGGTTTGTGTCCTGGGGGTGGAGCTTGGCATCTGTGGGCATGGCTTGGGTGGGATCGAGCACTGAGGGGGGTAGAAGGGGTGTGGCCTCTTGAAGGTGGGCGTGTCCTTAAACCCCACCCCTTCCAGCCATCGGCCACGCCCCCGCCCTCGCCCCATTGGCCGCCTGCCCCCGCCTGGCTCACCTGGGATTGGCCGAGACCCCCCTGAGCTCCGCCCCCGAGGGCCCCGCCCAGCTGGCCCAGCTCCTCCCCCTCGTCGACGTCGCCTGGACCTGATTGGCTGCTGGGACGGAGGCCACGCCCACCCGCATGTTGCTGCCGGCCACGCCCCCTTTGGGGCTTGGCCCCGCCCCCCTGAGGGGCGTGTCTAATAAAGTGATGTCACAGTGGGAGGGGTCAGTTCTTGAGTGGGAGGGGCTCTCCCAGTGCCTCCCAGTACAACCCAGTTACCCCCCAGTGACCTCCCAGTTCCATCCCAGTACAAACCAGTATGGCCCAGAGCCTCCCAGTGACCTCCCAGTCCATCCCAGTGCCCTCCCAGTCCATCCCAGTCCCTCCCAGTTCATCCCACTGCCCTCCCAGTGCCTGACCAGTGCTCCCAGTAAGCCCTCCCAGTGTGTCCCAGTGCCATCCCAGTCCATCCCAGTCCATCCCAGTGCCATCCCAGTGACTCCCAGTCCGTCCCAGTTACTCCCAGTGCCTCCCAGTGCCTCCCAGTCCATCCCAGTGACTCCCAGTGACTCCCAGTGACTCCCAGTCCATCCCAGTGACTCCCAGTCCATCCCAGTGACTCCCAGTCCCTCCCAATCCATCCCAGTGCCATCCCAGTCTCTCCCAGTCCATCCCAGTGCCATCCCAGAGCCTCCCAGTCCATCCCAGTGCCTCCCAGTGACTCCCAGTGACTCCCAGTTCATCCCAGTCCATCCCAGTGACTCCCAGTGCTCCCAGTCCTTCCCAGTCCTTCCCAGTCCATCCCAGTGCCTCCCTGTGACTCCCAGTCCGTCCCAGTTACTCCCAGTGCCTCCCAGTTCATCCCAGTCCATCCCAGTCCATCCCAGTCCATCCCAGTCCCTCCCAGTATAAACCAGTGACCCTCAAACACCCTCCCAGTCTCTCCCAGTCCCTCTCAGTCCCTCCCAGTCCCTCCTAATCCCAAATTTGGGGCGGATTTTGGGCAGTTTTTGGCCGAATCTTTGGTCCAGTTGTTCGGTAAATTTTGGGTGAATTTTGAGGG